AGCCCCTCATAATAAACACAACACGCCCTCAATTGGTAACATTATATACTGATGTTTGCATTGAATTATTTGGCACTTTTTGAACGATAGCCCAAACATTAGCCGAAAGCGACGATTGCGTGACATTTGGCTCTTCCGTCTAATCGTCAAAAATGCCGGTAATTGTCATCAGAGATGACCAGCACTTCGCCACTGAGTTGGCCGCCAGTCCTGCCACCAAACTGCTGGTCGTGGACTTCACAGCCACGTGGTTAGTCACATCCCTGTCCTCCCTGTCCACCGCACGTGTCACTCAAACGCATGTCTGTCCACAGGTGTGGTCCGTGTCAGCGAATATCACCCGTTTTCGAGCGCCTCAGCAATCAGTTCACGAATGGCCTGTTCCTCAAAGTGGATGTCGATCAGTGTCAGGGTATGCCATACCATAGGTCACCACCAATTGATCCCACAGTCATGTCATGTCTTAGAAACGATGCACAGCTATAGCGTGGAAGCGATGCCGACGTTTGTGTTCATCAGAAACCGAGTTGTGTTGACCAGAGTTCGCGGCGCAGACCCCACAGCCCTCGAGAGCAAGATTAGGGAACTCATTGGCAGTGATGTGGAGACGGGTGGCGGTCAGAGTGAGACCGGAGTGGCCGGACATATAGAGCTGAATACCTTCATAAATAAGACCCAATCGGAGTGTCTGAATGAGTCGGACGAGCACTCGCTGTCCGGGTGTCTCACCAGTGGTTCCAACGCTTATCTGGAGTCCGATTGTGACGAGCAGTTGATTATAAACCTGGCGTTCAATCAGCCCTTAAAACTGCATTCACTGAAGATAATGGCGCCCAAAGACAACGGACCGAAAACCATCAAATTGTTCATCAATTTGCCGAAAACACTCGACTTCGACGAGTCCGACTCCATGGAACCGATCCAGAAGTTGGATCTCTCGGCTCAAGACATATCCAGTGGGACACCAATCGCATTACGTTATGTCAAGTTTCAAAACGTGCAAAACATATTGGTTTGTATTGAATGCCAGTGCTATGACAGCCAATCATTAATGCATTGATGTGTTGACAGATATTCGTGAAGAATAATCAGTCGAATACGGAAGTGACTCGAATTGATTACCTCTCGTTCATCGGTTCCCCCGTTTCGGCCACTAATATGAGTGACTTCAAGAGGATTGCGGGAAAGAAAGGAGAATCCCATTGAATGCATGAATCACTGAAACTCGAAACTCTTTAATCTTTTTATTGTTTTCCTATTTTATATAACTTATAAACTATTGATTCAAAACACATTGGTTTTAATGAAATAACAATTAAATCTAAACTAATTTACATTATTTGAGGGTTTATTGAAAATTGGTTAATGATTTCTAATATCACAAAAAGTATGAATGATATACAAAGCCAATGGCAGAGGTAGCAAACCATACGGAGCACAACCACCACACCATGAATCCCGTGAGTCCTCGCAAAACTACTGGATTGAATACACTCTTCAATAGGGCTAAAGTCAACTGAGGACCGGTCTGCTCCACATTCATGGCTATGGGAGGCATATCGGGGGTACTCGACACTGTAATCCACGAATAATTGCCTAAAGTCTTCATTATTAGTGTCATAAACAGACAAATAAATAGCGGAGAAATGTATTGAAGAGTTACGACACATAAGTAATGAAAGACTCTCGCGATCTGTGATTAATTGGAAACACAATGTTTAGTGAAATGATTGCAAAATCGTTGAATTCAGACCAATTTCTGGAGGTCGACATTAGTGATGCGCCCCCTTTCCTTCTTCATTAGTGTCAGCTTTTGTGGTGCGATATTCAGATAGGATTGAAGGTATCGTCGCGTGAGAAACACTCTCAACGCCAACACAACCAGTATTACCACAATTCGTGTCGTTTCGAAACTATCGGAACTCATTCTGCATATCAATTGCAATCAATTAGTTTCTATGCTATTAAATAACTGGTCATAAGTGGCGCTCACATCGTGCCTCTCGACGACCACGTCTTGACCGTCAAGTAGTTCCTGGCAATGGGTTTGATCCATAAAAGTATTATGAAAAGTGGAGAAATAAAACTCAGATTCAGTAGAACTCTGAAAATAAAGCCGAGATTAGAGTGAATCCATTGAGTGATAGTATGGGATGACTCACAGAGAGACGGGATCATTGGACGAGTACTTAATGGCGTCGAAATGCATTTTGGAGATCCGGAGTCCCGGAAATGTAAAGAAAGCGCCGATAATAGCGCACCAAATGGACAAAAAGAACTTAACCATAAGCAGAGATGTCGGTCCACTACCCATGCTTTCACTAATTGCATGAGTTTCTAGTAATTTAAAAGCACTTTCATTAAAGCTCTTATAGGCCGGAACTAATCCAAACTCCAAGAAGTTTTCGTCAGCGATTAAGACAATCATTGCCGTCAAGAAGAATAGAGATCCAGAAACTATAGTCAGAGACCTCTCGCCTATTGCTTCGTCACCGCCTCTGAAGTAAAGGCCGGTTATTGAGAACAAAATTTTTCTAAACACAAGACAATTAACATTTGAATTCAAGACAAACGAATGACACAAATAATGATGAGTTCTTACAAACTGAAGGCCACTACAAGTGAACACCAAATTAGACTCAAATTATATTCAGTACTATTCGGCACTAAAAAGTAGTAAAATTCGGTCAAAAAGTATATAATGAGAGCATAGACTCCAAAGTCTATAAGCCATTGAAGTTCTGCATAGTATGGCAATTGGATCACATCTATCAGTTCCAGAGGTTTGGCCTCAAGGGTAAGAGATATATCTTTGGGTACATTAAATGTACTCTCTTTTGGTTCTTTGTTTTCTTTTCGGTTCTTAGATTTGTTGGCATTTTTAGTCAAACCAATCATTTGTCTTAACTCATGGTCTGATGGATGCAAATAACGGACCAAACTATGGATCAATTAAAGCATTAATCAAATGATAATCACATGAATGGTATGAATGGATACCCTTTGGAGAGAAGCCATCGACCCATTGAATAGCGAACCGAAAGTTTGTTTAAAACACTCAATAAAACCAAAGTGAAGACCAATTGGAAACCAAACAATGCCTTCGATGGACAATAAGACAGGTCCACTCAATTACCACTCAATACAACTGATAATATCATTCTTAAGACTCACCATATCTTCCACTTGTGACCCAAACTATTTGTAAACTAAATGGACATCAATTCAATACATTTGACTCGTGTATCATATGAATGACCACTAATTTGTACGGATGGACACAATTGAGACAATTTGAGTGATGAGCACAAAGTTTGCATCATTAGAGTGACCAACACTTCAATGAATGCATTATATGTGTGGATAACTCGCGAGTGAACCTCACGTCTCACCAAAACATACTAAACACACGCTTTCACTGCATTCACGGATTCCTTCATTGGTTTGCATAACAATGTGAGAGACTGTGAGAGGCTATGAATATTGAGGAACTCATACACTCATATTCTGTACAATATATACCGTATTCTCATTATACCGTACAGTATATTACGATATCAGTTATTCAATGAATTCAGTATCCATTCTACTCTAATGCTAATTATATCATACTTACCACATGGATCAAATCAAGTAACCACAGCTTACATCAACTTATCAGTTTACAATACATGTCAATTTATTAGAATTTCTAGACCTTGGTAGTCTAACTTTTCGTAAAAATAAAGTTGTTAGAAAGCATGTATTGAGGTGCAACCAAAGGCTTTATTTTTATAATAAATTAGATTTAAATACAAAACACATTTGTCTCAGTTATTAAAATTCATTAAAATATATTCGGTTTCTATTGATCATAGATTTGACAATAATTGCAATTAAAGTAATAATAATAGGAATGAGTGTTGAAAATAATATTTTACACAATTTAACGAAATGATAACGAATGACAAACAAAGACAACAATAGTTATAGAGATCACAGAATTTTGTTTCACTCATAACGGGTCCAAGTCTTGCATTAATGGCAGCTGTGATTCACTACTCATTGGCCCTCTTTTATGCATTTCATACCTCTTGTCCTCATTCTTCCTCAGAGGACTAGTAATAGATTTAAGGGAAGTGTTTATGTTATCCTCGTCGGCACTTCCTAATGGACTCCCCTTCCCGTCCATACCGTTAGAGCCGACGCACTGGTTGTCCCCCCTTTGGTATTGCATTGATGTGTAGTAGTATTTAGAGCCCGTTCTGCCGGTGTTGTTGTGTTGGTTACTCTCACTGTTGTGTTGAGACGGATATTGAATGAGTTCAGGAATGCCGATCGCAGTCACAAGGATTGCCAAAAACACTAAAAAAGCCCCGAAAACAAAGGGAGGGCCGGGGATCAGTGGGTTCTCCGGTATATTAAATGAATGAATGCTAGAGTTCACTAAATGCTCGTTCATTATGAGAGCGCCCCTCTCACCGCCGCCCGGGTATTGGCCCACAACTGGCACATTATGCGTCAAATCGACGTTAAATAAATTAAACACAAAGCCATAGACGGCTGGACCCAAACCATTACACAATCCTCTGATTCCAGTGATGAGTCCCTGGACGAGGCCCTGTTTGTCGGCGTCGGCACCCATCGAGGAATAGGCACTTATACTCGGATAAGCTATTCATATAAATTTCAGTGTTTTAATAATGACTTTAAATAAAATTATTCTCACTTATGGAGGCGAGTGCGGCCACAATGCCTGCCGTCCACATCATCCAAGTCTGAGAGCCGAACCCATACCACATGAGTTGAAGCATTTCCAACAGAAGGCCAAACATTATCGTGTTTTTACTGCCAAATGTCTTCATTAGCATCGATAACATCGCAGTCTAAATACAAACATATTCAACATCTGATGTATAGTTTTATTGCAGACAATCATTGCATACCTGTGCCACAACTGATAACAGGCCAACGACTGCAATAAAGAGCGCCACGTCTTCGGCAGAAAAGTTCATAACAAGTCTCAAGTAAACGAAGAAACACGAGTACTGACCCGCTTCGGGCAGGTATGAGAGAAAGACAGCCAAACACAGCATTAAAAGAGTGGTGTCTTTACCCACTTTACGCAATGAGGCGAACGGGTCAGCGGTTTCCCACAATGAGATCGACTTCATCCTAAGCTTTTCAGGCAATGATTCGGGAACGAAGAATAGGATGAACAGTACATCTAAGACAGCTATGAGTGTGGCTAACAAAATGACTAGATTATCGCCGTATACAGCGCTCAGGTATGCGCCCAACGCGGGGGACGTTACCAGACTGGCCGCAAATGTGGCCGAAACCAGTCCGTAGGCGGAACTCCTCTCGTGCTCAGTGGTCACGTCAGCCACGTATGCGAACACCACTGAAAAGGTGACCGCAAACACACCGGACAGGGATATCATCGCGAAATACCACCTGAAATGATAAGCCGGTCAGACGTGTACTCACTTGCCATCAATACTAACCATGTATTCAATCGCATCAGAGGAATGGGACAACACGTGAAGAATACCGTTAATAATAGAAAAAACTTTCGGCCCCAGAGGTCAGACAGAGCGCCGATGAGGGGTGCGCTCAGGAAGGATAAGAAGCCCTTCAGATGAAGTGGATTTAAATGTATTAATTACGATATCCATCATTGGATCAATTGATACTAACTTTGATGCCAACAATTAATCCATTCATAAGAAATGTATGGTCCGGAAACGTCTCATTCAACACCTGATAAGACAAACCAATAGACCATAAGTTGAATGATTGGCGCAGATATGCGGTGAAGACATACCGTAATCATAGGAGTGGTGAGAAGACCCCACGCGAAGAACTCGAGGAATATAACGACTAACGCATGATATACGGTGGGCTCACTCATGCCATACATCTGTTGAGATAATGACACCATTAGTTACCACAAGATTCAAATGAAATCAATTGTAAATAAATGAACAGATGTTTGAAGACATGTACGGATAATAGGAAATGAGTGATAACTACAAGAAAATTGTTGGTCTGTTTGCGACCACTCCTGACAATCACTCCGACAACACGTCTGGACATCATTTGATAGCATACGTCAAACCGCACATCACTTCCAGTAATGAGACAATGATTTGGTGGAGAAAAGAGTGGTTTGTCTTGAGTTCACTGCACACTTCAATGCATTTAATTATGACTGCATTTAACGGCAACAACACTAACACTAAGTCTAACAGTAATAGTAATACAAGTAATACACAATCGATTGCCTGATAAATAAAATAGTCATTTCACTGCTAAACAAAACCCAATGCCAGCCTATGACTGCATTTAACGGCAACAACACTAACACTAAGTCTAACAGTAATAGTAATACAAGTAATACACAATCGATTGCCTGATAAATAAAATAGTCATTTCACTGCTAAACAAAACCCAATGCCAGCCATTCATACACTCATACAATACATACGTTTAGTAACTTTTGCAAACTAATTAATCATTTAATTTATCAAACGTTAACTCAATTTATAAATCCGGGATTAAATACACTATTGTTTCAGTATATTAAAGCTAAATTTAAATGAATTTGTTTAAATATACAACTTTTCAATTCATATCTCAAAAGTTTGCCCAAAATGGGAATATTTTGTCGGAGTTTTCAATGGAAATGTATAAATAGGTATCAAAATGTATTTTAATTTATTGTTCTCTTAATGATAAGGTATATTCAATAATTGATAACAAAAGTAGTTCGCAAAGAAAAAGTTACTAAATATATTAGTAAATCACAATATCTTAATAATTATTTATATATGATATAAAATATAAGTATTGTTTAGAATAGGAATTGTTAGCATAGTATTCATATGACTAATACTTAACAATTCATAAGAATTACATAAAACTCAAGTAATAACGTCTAATGGCTATTAATATATGAACAGTAAACACATAACGCATGCCTTACCCTCTAATTGCTTTGCCTTTTAATTCAATAAACCATTTAATATGTTAATATGATTGTAAAACATAAATTATATAGAAATCATGTGCTTGTAAATCATGATAACGACAAGACTTGTAGGCATTGATGACAGGGTTGGCTTCGATGGGTGGCTGTATGTCGTCTGCAACGATCGCACAAACAATTGTTGGCAGATGTTATCAATAATTCATAATTAATATGATTGTGACATCCGTTCAAAGTGATGCCATCCCTTTGTGGCGCTTTTGACTCGCTATACATCACTGAAGACGTGCCCAGTATTTCACACAAATCAGAATCCATTGAATTCGTGTCCTTTTGGAATAACTTTAGGCCACAGAATATTCCGTTAAAATGTTTTAAAAGAGATTATATAAGAAGTAAGAGTACAAACCGATAAATTCTTGAGTCCAGTTGTGTCAGTGCTTATAAAGCAGTCATATTTAACCATATTTTTACCAAACAATTGCTTGTTAATGAGATCAGTCATCGACAGCACGAGTTGCATGTCTTCCTCTATATTCGGTTGATTCCAATCGTTGTTGTTATGAATAAATTGTGAATCAATTGGCCGGTGATTGAAGGCTTCTGTCATAATATGCGGTAATATAGGCGCCAATTGGAAGACAATTGAATTGTATAAATACAAGAGAACCGTTTGACAGGTTCTTCGGCGAAGTGATGTCTTGTGTTCGCAAAACAAGCGGTGTTTGATTCGCGAGAAATAAAAGCCGGCGATTCTGTTGATTATAAATTCTTGAGACGAATTGATTACTTTACTGAATCGGTAGTCATTGAAATCCATTTGCAAGTCATTCAAGTAGTGGTGCAACAAATGTAACACATATTTGTCTAAAGTATTCAAATCAGACAAAAGGCGAATGTCTTTCGATGGCGAGAAGTCATGAAGGGATCCGATCAGGAACCGAATGGTACGTCGAATACCATTGAGTGAGACAAGAGTTTCGTTGAATGAATTCATAGAAACCTTTTCGTCCTTATGATGTGAGGCATGCTTTGCTGTCCACCACCGGAAGCCATCGGATCCACAATTATTGGCATCTTTTGTGTTCTCAATCACATCGTTTGGATCGATTACATTGCCAAGAGATTTGGACATTTTATTGCCGTTACCGTCGAGTGCGAAGCCATGAATCTTAACTGATCTAAACGGCGGACACTTTCTGAGCGCAACACTTAATATGAGTGAAGACTGGAACCAACCGCGCAATTGGTCGTAACCCTCCAAATACATGTCCGCCACTTTGGGCTCATTGAGCACTGCATTCCAACTGTTGCCGCTGTCAAACCAAATGTCCAAAATGTCTTTTCCTTTCACCAAATCATTTGAACAAATCTTCAGATCATTTTCAAGCAGATGTTTGGGAACTAATTGGTCCACAGTCCATAGCCACCACACATCACACCCTTTCTCTTCAAACACATCTAAAATGTGATCCAATATTCGCTTTGAAAATATTGGAGTTTTATATTGTTTATCATCTTTCATGTAGAAGACAGGGATGGGGACACCCCATGACCTCTGACGAGATATACACCAATTGGGTCTTACAATCAATTGATTGATTAGGTATTCCTTATAGAAGTCGGGATAGAATACCACGTCTTCCAGCGCTTTCACACACTCTTCTCTAATGGACTCTATGTTGAGAAACCATTGAGGACTGGCCCTCACAATCACCGGTTCGTTATATCTCCAGTCATAGGGATAGCTATGAATGTAGTCGTGTTTGTAAAGAAGTGCCTTTCCTAATAAGTTGATTATCATATCATTTCCTTCGCTCAGAACAAACTTATTATCTAATAATGGATTAGAAGTGGAGACAAAACAGCCCTTCTCATCGACAATACACTCTTTCAATGGAATATTATTTTTGGTGATAAGTTTATAGTCATCCACTCCATGGTTGGGTGCCGTATGCACTAAACCGGTCCCTTTAGTTGTAGTCACGTATTGACTCTCAAGAAATGGTAGAATTTCGTCATTTAATGAAATGGGATTTTTATATGTAATTCCCTTCAAATTTGATCCATTAATCACTTCTTTGATCACAATTTTAGACTTAAATTCTTCTTCTAAAGAAGGAATCAAATCCTTTGCCACTAAAAGATTTTCATCGCATAATTGACTGATAATAACCACACAATAGTCTATATTTGGCGAGTAAGCAATGGCTTGATTTGCGGGTAAAGTCCAGGGAGTGGTCGTCCAAATGAGAGCCGATATATCACTATATTTGTGAAGAATGTCCGGAACTGATGTTATGTTGAATTTGACAAAAACTGATTGCGAGACGTGTTTGTCATTGTATTGAAGCTCTGCTTCGGCCAAAGCTGTCCGTCCAGAAGGAGTCCAATAGACCGGCGAATGGGAGCGGAAGACAAGACCACTATCTAACAGAGTGTGGAATGCCTTCAATTGATTGCTTATATAATTTGAATTAAAAGTGAGATAAGGGTGGTCCCAATCGCCTAGTATTTGCCAATTTCTGAAACAAGTCTTATGCTCTGAGATCACATTAAGTGCCAATTGTTTGGCTTTCTTTCGTATCTCAATGGCGTCTGTTATCTGCGAGTCTTTGGAGACGGCTTTCAGTTCAATGGGCAGTCCGTGACAGTCCCAGCCCGGGAGGTACGACACCTCAAAGCCTTCCAATAACTTTCGCCGACATATCATGTCTTTGAGGAACTAAAGGATCAAAAACAACTAAATATTTGGGAAACTCGTAACCAAAATAACCACTTTATTGATGGCGTGACCGAAATGGAGGGAACCGTTGGCATAGGGCGGGCCGTCGTGTAAGACAAACGGACCCTTCGGTGCACTCGTGTCCCGCAGTCTCGCAAACTTGTCAATTATTGATAACATCTGCCAACAATTGTTTGTGCGATCGTTGCAGACGACATACAGCCACCCATCGAAGCCAACCCTGTCATCAATGCCTACAAGTCTTGTCGTTATCATGATTTACAAGCACATGATTCCTATATAATTTATGTTTTACAATCATATTAACATATTAAATGGTTTATTGAATTAAAAGCAAAGCAAATAGAGGGTAAGGCATGCGTTATGTGTTTACTGTTCATATATTAATAGCCATTAGACGTTATTACTTGAGTTTTATGTAATTCTTATGAATTGTTAAGTATTAGTCATATGAATACTGTGCTAACAATTCCTATTCTAAACAATACTTATATCTTATATCATATATAAATAATTATTAAGATATTGTGATTTACTAATATATTTAGTAACTTTTTCTTTGCGAACTACTTTTGTTATCAATTATTGAAAATACCTTATCATTAAGAGAACAATAAATTAAAATACATTTTGATACCTATTTATACATTTCCATTGAAAACTCCGACAAAATATTCCCATTTTGGGCAAACTTTTGAGATATGAATATGAATTGAAAAGTTGTATATTTAAACAAAATTATTTAAATTTAGCTTTAATATACTGAAACAATAAGTTTATTTAATCCCGGATTTATAAATTGAGTTAACGTTTGATAAATTAAATGATTAATTAGTTTGCAAAAGTTACTAAACGTATGTATTGTATGAGTGTATGAATGGCTGGCATTGGGTTTTGTTTAGCAGTGAAATGACTATTTTATTTATCAGGCAATCGATTGTGTATTACTTGTATTACTATTACTGTTAGACTTAGTGTTAGTGTTGTTGCCGTTAAATGCAGTCATCATTAAATGCATTGAAGTGTGCAGTGATTCACTGCCAGTGAACTCAACTCCGATCACAAGACAAACCACTCTTTTCTCCATCAAATCATTGTCTCATTACTGGAAGTGATGTCTGGTTTGACGTATGCGCCCAAATGATGTCCAGACGTGTTGTCGGAGTGATTGTCAGGAGTGGTCGCAAACAGACCAACAATTTTCTTGTAGTTATCACTCATTTCCTATTATCCGTACATGTCTTCAGTTTATTTCAAACATCTGTTCATTTATTTACAATTGATTTTATTTGAATCTTGTGGTCACTAATGGTGTAATTATCTCAACAGATGTATGGCATGAGTGAGCCCACCGTTTATCATGCGTTAGTCGTTATATTCCTCGAGTTCTTCGCGTGGGGTCTTCTCACCACTCCTATGATTACGGTATGTCTTCACCGCATATCTGCGCCAATCATTCAACTTATGGTCTATTGAATTGTCTTATCAGGTGTTGAATGAGACGTTTCCGGACCATACATTTCTTATGAATGGATTAATTGTTGGCATCAAAGTTAGTATCAATTGATCCAATGATGGATATCGTAATTAATACATTTAAATCGACTTCATCCGAAGGGCTTCTTATCCTTCCTGAGCGCACCCCTCATCGGCGCTCTGTCTGACCTCTGGGGCCGAAAGTTTTTTCTATTATTAACGGTATTCTTCACGTGTTGTCCCATTCCTCTGATGCGATTGAAT